TCAGCTATAGTCACATAAATGTTTAATAATATCGGTTAAACATGAAATTTACCTACGATGGTCATATACATCAAATTGTGTCATTTTTTCTTACTATCAGTTGCTTTAGAAAGGAGATTTCTGGAAGATTGATATGAAGAATACACTCATGTGACGCTGTTAAGGGAAAGTTAATTTTTTTATGTCTTTGGTGCAATCCAATTACAATTACAGTATAAAAACTCAAAACTTATAAAATACGGAAAATACGTAATGAACATGAAGATTTGACCAATAGGTTGCTGGCCAAGTGAGCAGCATGCAACTTACAGCATACTACAGGGCAAGAAAATGCAAAAAATACAGAAGACATCAGGTAGCATGTTCCATTGACGGCGGTGTATTTGTCCTTCTCAATAAGGAACTGGATTTCCTAATATGAAAGCGAGCCAGAAGGTAAAAGGTTATAGTTCCAAATTCATTTAGACCTTGACGAGAGAAAAGAAAACAGAAAAAACTTACTGCATTTTTGTATGAATTTGGCACATTTATGGTATATGGGCTGTTAACCTCAGGAATTGTATATCTGTTTACCGAGTTTTCGGTTGCGTTGTCACCTAGAATTTGAAAAAATATATTTCAATGTCAGATATATTAGACATTTTATCTTCCTCAGACCGCATATCGCAGATCGAAAACTTAAAGACTCTTGTGGCAAATTTTTATAGCGCGCGGCAGCGGTGGACCCCATAGATATATCACAAAAGTAACCCCTTCTGAAATCCTTTCCCATATAGTTCAGTTTCCGACCGAAAATTTAATATTTAAAACGCAGCTTGTTCTTTAAAAGTGCTAAGCACGTTATGAGATGGATTTAAGTATAGTCAACAAATTCCCTAACATAATTAACTAATGGAATCCTACTTTAAGTCCCAGATCAGCACGCGAAATCTCCATCCTTCTGTAAGACAGGACCGTGTATAATAAAGATTTTCCAGTCTGGGCAATACGAGGGAAATGGAATATAATTTTAGAGAAGTTAATCAAGCAGGAAATACAGGAATAAGTATTAAAATAATCTAAATTTTGTCAACAGGAAGCGTGTTGTGAAATAAAGGATAACTTAACAATAACTTGCTAATATTAAAATCAACTAACTGAAAGAACTAAAGAAATCTTAACTCACCCTGCCAGCACAATCCCCGGACTGGACGGGGGATGCCATCCGGGTAATCCGGGGAAATACGGTGGAATACGGGGGAATG